AAACCCAAGCAAAGCCACACAGTTTTAAACACTGTTGGAATAAAATCCCCTCCACGGCGTCAGCTTGGTGCTCAGGGGAAGAGGCAGAACACGCCATACTTGGCTCTGGTTTACCCCAAGCTTTCAGGAAACTCCTCACAGCGAGGCCAAGAGCTATGTTCATAACAAAACCTAAACCCAAGCAAAATTTATCACGTTTTGAGTTTCTTCATGAAAGGTTAGACCAACTTGGGGTGTGCTCTGCTGGGATAAGAGAAAAGATGAATTCTGCCCTTAAGGGCCAATTTCACATCCATTGAAATCACATACAGAACTCCCAGGGAAGCAAGCTTAAACCTTTAAACACTGTTAGAAAAGCAGCTACCACAGTTCTCTGTCACTCTAGTTAACCATCTATAAACAGTTACTCACTTGACCTCTATTTGATCTCTCCCTCTGCCCTCCAAGGAATCTTTCAGGGCCAACACACATTATGGATATCTCTGTGTACATGAATGTTTGAGGCTATTTTACTGCAATGAGAACAAACTCTTGCAATTCTATCTGAAACCTGGTTAGTTGGGGAGATACTTATTTTTTTCCTTCTGCAGAGCAGACAAATCCAGCAAGTCACTTCTCTTAGTTTGTATTGCTTTGTTACAAATACTTAATACTAAAAGTCCTGTTTGCTACACATGTAGATGGATCCTGGCATAGCAATAAGGAGGGAAAATAGTCTTAGCACTTGAAACAAGAAGGTCAAAGACAATAGTCAAGAAAGATCTTAAACTGCTGTATGTTTATCCTCTTCTAGCTGCTGCTTGGATGAGCAGCAAGATTGCAAAGGCTTCAAGCTTTCACCTGATTAATAGTCTTGGTAAAATAAATAAATAAATAAATAAATAAAATTAAAAATCATGTAGGAATGTCACAAGAATAAGACTACTATTAAAAAAGGAACTATTATGCAAAACAAGAATGAGGGTAAGATGGAAGTAAATATAAGGGTATATAGTCAGTTACTGAAGAAAAAAGAACTTTATATGGATGCCTTTTTTTTTTTTTTAAGTATGATAAATCAAAAAATTTCAGTTAAGTTAAAAAAGAATCTCTAATCACTCTCACCTCTGCATCAATAGTTAATGTTGATATTAGCATTTAGCTTCTTTCCTTTCCATCACAGCATCATACTATGTGGAAATAAGCATTTTAAGCATGTTTTTAAAAACACATCTTGGAAAAAAAAAAAAAAGTGCTGCATCTAGAGACAGAGATACTAAACTGCTGTAGTCATTATCATGTGGGTTAGTGGATGATGTTACAACAAGGCAGAGATAAGGTTGATTTGGTATCTCAGTTGTGCAGTCCAATAGCCTAATACATACTGATTTCTAAATGTAATTATTCTTAATTTGAGATCCCTGAATTTCCTGGCATTAACATGCTTGGTTTGTAATGTATTTTACTTCAAACTGCTGAGATCCAATGTGAATCTTAACTCTACTTATATGTAGATTCTGCCTGAACACTATGACAGTCCAAAAAATTATGTGTTTAGTTACAGATAATAAGTCCAGGAAATATTAAGGAAGATCACAGTCAAATAGTATTAGTGACAACAAGATGAAAACAGGGGTACTATTTTCCCAATCTGAGGACATTTAGTTTATTTCTTAACTCACAAAAACATTTCTTAATAATAACGAGTTGTGTTGCAGTGACCAAAAATGTCTTACTTCAGACATAATCTGTGCGGATTTAAAGCAACTTCAGATAATGATTTCATTGATGGGTTATGCCAGTCTAAAATTCTAAGCAACAGAAATGTTGCTGTTTCACCATTTAAGAGGAAATGTAATTTGATACAAACACACTAAAATTTTGGATTATTGTATTATTAAAAAAGGCTGTCTCAAGCTGTGTTGAAATAAACAGTAGGTCTATTTAAGGTTTCTGAATTCATTCTTTCTTTTTTAGCATTCAGATAAAAGATTAAATTTACTGGCTATTAAGGAGTTCTGGATGCAGCTGGTCGGGAGTTGGGGGGGGGGG